GCTGTCAAGGGCCACATGGGTAGCCCTGCCCCTTGACAGGCGCCACTCCCTCCCCCCGTCACCATTTTGGGACTGGAAGTCCCACCCCCTAACCCTTGAACTTTGGCACTAGAAGCCCCTCCCCTTGCCCCCAGAAATACTCCTTTCAGCAAGGGGTTTTGCCATCTCGGAACTAGAAAAATAACAAATTATATTTTAAAAAACAATCATCCAAAAAAAATTCATTAATTTGATTTCAAAAAATATTTTTGTCCTAGTTTACATGTCTTTGTGTAGTGTACACAGAGGTGATCATATATAAGGGCTTGTAATGAAGTCTTACTCTTGTATGTTGTGGGGGGGGTATAGGGTTGTGGGGGGCCATGGGTGTGTGGGTATGTGGGGTGTGGGGGAGGATGTGGGTGTGCCTGTGGGGGATGGATAGGGGTTGGGGAGGTGGGTGTGGGGTGAGGGAGCACGTGGGTGTGTGTGCATATGTGGGGTGTGGGTAGGTATGGAGTTTGTGGGGAGCTGTGTGAGGGGAGGGTGGCTGGGGTGTGTGAGGGGGTGTGCATGTATGGCAGTGTGAGGGGAGGTATGGGTGCCTGTGTATGGTGGAATGTGCACGTGGGACTCACCCTCTGAACATACACACACGGGTACTGGTGCAGCCTCATGCTCCCGGTCTGGACATGCAGCCAGGAGCCATGTGGTGCTGGAGCAGGGTAGGGCCAGGAAGGCAGGGAAATGGCTGGGGATGGGTGGAGCTGGGCTCCTGCTTCCTGCTGCCAGCTCCCCCTGGGTCCTACTGCTTCTGACTCCTGTTGTCTTTGACAGGCAGCCAGGAGCAGATAAATATTTTCTAAATATTTAAGAGGTCCGGTGGGCCAGATAGAATGGCCTGGTGGGCCATATTTTGCCCACCCCTGCCTAAAATGAAGCTAGATGCCAATTAACAGTTTTACTGCCCAAACATGAGGCCCGTTATTACACTGCATGAATGATTTCTGAGGTAACCACCTATATTATTCAGAGGAAAAATTGCTCCTTGACACAGTTTGACAGGGGGACATGCTACTTGGCTATATGCCAGTGACACGAGAATGGGGTAAGGCCCCATTCCAATCATCTTCAGTGGGAGCTGAGAGCTCCTGGAGCTTGCCGACTCAGGCCAGATGCATTTAAAATGTGCTTTGTCACACTGAGGAATGTGTAAACATGTAAATCCTAGCACAAGGAAGAGAGACAAACAAGAGATTTATAGTAGAAGGAAATGAGCCTTTTGGGGCAGGCTGGAATAGGCCAGCAAGGAGAGAGCAATTCCTTTAGCAACAAGCTTTCCTGCTCAGGGTTTTAGTTTGAAGATTTTACTGTATGGTGTGGGGTAACTGTAAGAGATACAAACTTTGTTTTATGAAACTTGAAAAGCAAACAGAAAACCCTAATCTAAATTACAGCCCAATGCTGCTTAACTGGATGCAGGACCTTCCCTGCTTTCTACTGTCAGAGGCCAGATTTTCAAAACCATTTAGCAAACTGTGAGAAAATCCGGTTATTCATGTCACAAATCTTAGCTGTCGGGTGCTGAGAGAGGAACTGTCTTCAGTGATAAGCTACCCTCAAAGCTGGAACTCTCAGGATGGTTCAAGCGTGCACAGGCAGGACCAAGTGTTCAGAAATGCTCCACATCTTGGATGCTGTGGTCTTTGCCCCTTTGCACCTTCAGATCCTGAACGTAATCCCACACTCTGCATTGTATCTCTGTGTGAGCCACAAAGAGGAGTCAGCTTGCTGGAAAACTAAGGTGTAGTTCCAGAGCCTGTAACAGATTCAAAATAGTTTCTCCTTACAGGTTAGTTTCTGTGTCTTGTTTTCATGTACACAAGGGCGTTATGCCTGAATGCCCATTTGGTTCAATCTGTTCAAGGAAAGGTATTGACCAGACTCTCCAGAGACTAAACGGTCCTAAATATTGTACAGGCGCACAGCCTAGGACTTTGTCTTGCTCTCAGGCCACTGTTCTACCACCCGAGGAAGCAAACTGTTGTGGGGCAGTGGTCACAAGGAACAGTGCGTGGGTGGATTTTATGTTTTGGGAAATGGTTTGTATCCGTCCTTATAGCTAATCCAGTTTGCCTGTTCCCACTGACCAACCAAGCAGGTCTGAAACAAGGGCAGTTCTGGAGTCTTTACCCAAGGAAATGTTTCTACTTAACTCCCTGGGAGTTCGGCCCAAGTAAGGACAATAGGTAATGCCTGTAAAGTTTGCCCATAACCTCTAAATGCATGGCACTTACGTGGAAATCCATACTGCTTCAATAGCTTCTTTTTGGAGAGGACTTTCATAGCCTGAGGGCAGAAAAAAATGACAATGTTAAAGCAGAACAAAAAGCCATGATACTGAGAGTCACCATCATTGCTCTGACCTTGTAGCATGTGCGAAATCTTTTGACCTCGGTTCAAATGCCAGTCTGGCTCTAGGGTATCTCCTGTTAATCCAGGGGAAGAGGGAGCATAACTACTGACAGATACCTTAGGAACACCTAACACATAAAGAAAGAAGGAATGACTTCTCTTTAGATGTATATAAAGGCCAATATTACCAACTTTTTAATAAAACTTTTCAATGGGCCTTAATCAGACAAGTAAGAAGGGCCCTGATTCTTGTAACTCTGTTCCTACATTTAGACCAGGGTCTTGAAGAAAAGGAAAAAGGATTTCAGCTACCTTTGTGCACTCTGTATTCAAGAACCAGCTCAGCCCCTAGGATTAGTTAGAACAGTGCAGGGGTGCACTCCTAGGCTTTGTTTCCTGAGGCTCCCAGGGACTCTCAGAAGAAAAACAGTTAAGGTGCAGTATGCTCTTAGCCATGCTCTTGACATCCCCTCATTCCACGCTCCCCATCAGGGGTGACAGCAAGGCCACCTCTAGCACTATGCTAGGAAAAAGGACATTCTCAGAAGGCCGTTTCTGCCCTAGAATGGCATAAAGGGACTTACGTCTAACTGAAACCCAGGCCCAAGGTTTTTCTAGGGTACTTTCATGACAATAGCTGAGGCCGAGTGACCCAGCTCACAGAGATACTGCAAGATACAATAAAAAGGAAAGCACAGATCTACACAAGCTAGCCACATGCTGACATTCTTCCATCCACGTACATTTTCACATTGCACCACCACATGATCATTTGGAACCAAAGTATTTGATGCGAGAGGGTGGCTGTCGGTACTTTTTCTCCCATCCCTGTGGCCTTAATATAACGGCAAGGGCAACCTGAATATAATAAATTGAATCTTTGGGACTCTGTGCATATTGCTGCATTAAATAATTTTGTCATGGCTACTCCAAGGATCCCTAAAGACTCAAGGAATAAATATTTAATGAGAAGCCAGCTCCTGTTATACTCTGCTCAGAGAAATTTTCTGTGGTCTAAAGGGCTTTTTGGGATGAGTTATTTGCTTCTGTTAAACAAGCATCCATATCTATAATCTTCATTAGAGTGACCCTAGCAAAATATAATCACCCAAGGGCTCCCATAAAACACATGCAATGCAGGTTAATTTTCCACTAATAAAAGTGAAAGAAGGCTCTACTGCGCATTACTTGTGGCCGACACAGCCAAGGGCAGACCAGTGGCACTGTCCCAGCAGGCTTCTTGCTAGCTATTTTTGTCAGTGAAAATATAACTCTCCAATTTTCAATGTCTCTTGTACAATCTAAGGTCCAGATTCAGACCTTAGTCATATGAGCATACAACTGGAATAACTTTACCAAAATCAGTAGTTACTGTGGCTTCATAGTGGTATAACAGAAAAGAATCTTGCTTGGACTATAACCATTTTCAATCCCATTTAATAATTTCAGGGGCATCTACTGAAAATGGCAGCATTGGGTGATGGAGACTAGGGATTTCTGGTCTTTCATGTATACACTGTCTTGCCTGATATTGGTTCCTATTGATGGCTGAATGATTGAGGAGTCTGTGGGATATGAGCCTGTGATAATTGTGATATTAGTCCTTAGGTGGGAAGGCTTCCAACACAACACCCACAATGGGCCCTTTGAAGGAGGACTCAGGACTGGAGGGTACACATTTTATCTACTTCTCCCATGCCCCACCCTACTCACCCCCACAAAAAACCTACAAGAAAAAAAATGTAAAAAAAAAATATATATGTATATATATCTATGAAAGAAATTGAAACAGTGTCACAATTTCATTTAGATTCACACAGCATGTGGAAGGTTCTCTTATTTTCATCCTTCCCCTAAAACTGGACACTTTTTTTAAGTTAATTTCCACTGAACAAAACGGGAAAAAAAGAGAAGTTTGCTACATTTTATCAGAGAAAATGGTAAGTATCAACATTTCTCAACACGTGGAGTCCTCATCTCAGTTAATTAATGAGAGCTACCGCTCTGTGTCTTATACATTTTGGGAACAGACTGGCAAAGGAGAGACTTTTTCAGCACACAGTACCCAAAGATTAAGCGTAGCACAATTTGTACAAAGTGGTAAATCCATGGTTTCGTTCAGTGAGGGAAGTGAGAAGTTGCCACTGCAGCTGTTCACTCCTTAGAAGGCGCTGTGACTGGCTGTATGACGGTCCAGCTGTATGGGTGTTGCAAAGTGATTAAAAGTCATATGAACCTGCAACAGCTTCCTCTACTACACCTCCAGGGGCCTGTGATACAAGAGCTTGACACATCAGTTCTTTGTCTGGCTGCCTGACACTGAGAAAAATCCCCAGCGGCAGAGCTGTAATAGGTTTCTAGCCCCTTTGTGTCACCAGTGCAATGCAAAGTAGCTGGATCGCAGCAGCCCTGTTTGGAAATCCAAGTGCGAGGTGGACTCGCACCGCATCTTGCAGAACAAGCATTATCACAAGACAGAGACAGGAATAAACAACAAAGTCAGGTTTTAATTAGAGGGAACCTTAGTGAGGCAAACCTTGTCACACTGTATTGTCACTGTGCATAATGAGGGCAATGCAGTAGTGACCTGGCAATGATCTCTTCCCTTCCCAGGTTTGAGCAAAGCGGTTCCCAAGGCAATGAATGCATTCATAGAAGAACCAACCTGTTTCTCTTCACAAGCCAAGCTCATTATCCAAATAACACCTTTCTGATACTGAATTCTTTCAGTACCGTGCTGATGGATTTTCCTAAGCAGTGACACAGCAGCTCTTAAGGTCAGAACTAGGCATGACTTCTGGAGCCCGGATCCTGCTGGCAGTTAAAGCTTCTCTTAGTTGGAGTGGGAAGGGGCAATCAACAGGATCACACTTGGTAAGTGGGCTGGCGGCCTGTACATTATGACTTGAAACGTGGCAACAGCAACCACCATCACCCCAGCAACAATAATTAAATTCTGTACCCGTATGTGATTAAACATTCAGCTGGTAACGCTAAAAAATTCTCACTTTCTACATCCAGTAAGTCTTAATTTCTTTTCCCCACCTTTCCTGCCGTATTTGGGAATGACACCCAATAAACGAAATCAGAGCCCCAAAGAAAGCGGAAAATGTTGCTAAGCCCTTTTTAGGCAAATAGCAAAGTGGAAGCCATTTTTGCTTCCATGCATTTGATGCCACTAAGGCCGAGCAGTTTGTCATATAAGTGTCTTTGCATCTGCCAATCCTTCTTGCGCCACTACTGCTGGCAACACCTGTACCGGAGGAGCCTGACGCCCGCTTATGCCCTTGCCCCCATCGTCTATTGTGAGCGAAGGAGTTTTGGCTGCAACGAGAGTGCACTCCTGAAGAAATCCCATCTTTAGCATCTCCCTCAAGAAGCTGCAGGGACATAAGAGACATGTGATTTTTTCTTCTCCCGGAAGTGGCACAGAATTTGTTCATCGCAATCACTTGCCTTGGCAAGCTGATTTGGTGACCAAGAATGGGCGAGAGACATAGCCTGAGACATTTCCGAATCAAATTTCAGCAGTAAAATCACTCCCAGCTAGCTCGCCCCAGGTAGATATTTGCCTCTGCTTTTCATTTTTTGCCTTTTAAAAAGTGCTTAAACTCCACCCCACCCCCAACTGCAGATCATGATCGTGACAATTTCCAGCTGTGAGTGCTGACGGGTAGAGTCGTGTAAACCCCCAATGCAATGCATCGCCATCAGGGAGTCATTTCAAGTGTCAGGGGTCTATATATTGTTAAGCCTGACCCCACACTCGATAGGATTTTTCCCACTGATTTCAGCAGATCAGATCCTTGAGGCTGAAGATCCCAGGTTCAGTCTCTCATGCTGTAGTCTAAGCCATCACCTTGCCCATCCATACCAGGGGCCAGAATATCAGCCAGAAGAAACTGCCACAGCTTCACTGACTTCCATGAAGCTAGACTGATTGACAAGGCTCTAGGCTCCACGTTTTGTTTCAGCAGCACTTTCTGTACTTATTCCTCTTCTTGAGTAAAGAAAGCCTCTTTGAAAGTAAGATGAGTGACATATAGGGGAAAATACAGAATAACCCTAATTTGAGGCCTGATCCAAAAATTCATTAAAGTAATGAGAGCCTTCCCACTCGTTTTAAGAAGAACTGGATCAGCCTGCTGGTGCCTAAAACTCCCCATTAGTCAGAAAAATGTACCTTGTCCCCTCCTTCAGCAATAATCATGCAGAGGATTGCACACTGGGATTTTATACCACATAGGCTCTCGTGATACAAACACAATGCTGTGCCTTAAAAATAACTGCTGTCCTTTTTTCTCGCCAAGCTTCCTTTAAATGTAGGAAGCAGCCATTCCTCATGCTGAACTACTGTAGGTGCGAAATAGTTACATACTACTTGCCATTCCAGGCCACTCAAGGGCTAATTTTCTCCAATTGTTTCTTGTTGCTTTTCAACGTGACGACAAAAAAAGAAGAGCATAATCTTTCAAAAGAAAAAAAAAATCCTCTCCCAATTGTCAAAATCAGAATTGCTTCTAGTAATTGCTGGTGCTACACATTTGCATTGGATCTCCCCATTGGCTGCCTGACAACTCTTGTCAAATGTATTGTTATAACATGGTTTCAGACAGCAGTGATAAGCAGAACAACATGGAATTTATCTCAGTATTAAAAGCAGCATGTCAGTCAAACGCACAAGGAAACGTGGGGAGCTAAGCAACCATTAGCTAATTATGTAATTTGCTACTATTTCTCTTCAGCTTTTAAAGATCTGTCAAATTCCAGGGTATTTCAACACCTTGGAAATTTGGAGGTCTCTCCATCACAAGTTGTCGCGCTGGAAAATACTGGTTCTGACAATCAGAAGTAAGAGAGTTTGCAGATGTTTATACAGCAGGGTGAAGGAGGGAAATGCTTTTTATCTGGCTGCACTAGCACCGAATGGAAGC